TAATCAAATCCAGGGGTGGCCATCCCCTGCCATCTAACCTGGCAACTTTGGTCATCCTTTTTCCTAGTCAAACCAAAAAGAACTGAAAAAAATTACTTGGAGTTTCCTACACGCAGTTCATTTAGAGGCATTTCCAGTTGGTCATCTTTTTTCTAGTAAAACTAGAGGCATAACTAGGTTGGTCATTCCTATTTGGTCATCTTTTTTCCTGGTCAAACAAAAAATAACTGAAAAAAATGACTTGTAGGTTCCCTCATGCACTCCATTTAGGGGCATTTCCTGGTTTTATTCCTTATGCATGTTGCAAGACTTCACCCAGCATCCGTGTGCATACAATCTGTGATGGTAACAGAAGGGGTCTCTATTCTCAATGTCTCACATTTTGGTAGGAAATAGGACATGTGGGCAGACAGGAGGATGAATGTGATCCGGGCGGGATATGCAGGCAAATAACTATACACTGTGGCAGAATGAGACACTTGTCAAAGGGATCTCACAGCAAGAGCTTTACAGAGGTGTGAACAAAGTGCTTAGGGAGCTAGCAGGGGCTAATCTGCCAGGGAGGATGTGGCCTTTGACCTGCAGATGTTCCCCCTACTATCCTTTGGTGACTACAGTCTACGGTGGAACTTTATAAAATACAGATTCCCTGGCTCCTCCCCCAGAGACAGATTTCGTAGGTGTAGGGTGGGGTCTGGAATTCTACTGATAAAAATTTCAGCTGAATGAAATTTAGAGAAGTTTAATTGAGCAATAAACACTTGGCAAATCAGGCAGCCCCCCAAAATTACAGCAGCTTCAGAGACTCCGGCCACGTGGTGGAAGATTTACAGACAAAAAAAGGGAAGCGATGAACAGAAATAGGAAGTGAGGTTACAGAACAGCTGAATTGGTTGCAGTCCGGCGTTTGCCTTATTATTATTACTATTATTTTGAGACTGAGTCTTGCTCTGTTGCCCAGGTTGGAGTGCACTGGCGCAATCTCAGCTCACTGCAACCTCTGCCTCCCAGGTTCAAGCGATTCTCGTGCCTCAGCCTCCGAGTACCTGGGATTACAGTCACCGCCACTGCACCCGGCTAATTTTTGTATTTTTAGTAGAGACAGGGTTTCACCATGTTGGCCAGGTTGGTCTGGAACTCCTGATCTCAAGTGATTCGCCTGCCAAGGCCTCACAAAGTGCTGGGATTACAGGCGTGAGCCACCATGCCCGGGGACATTTGCCTTATTTGAAGACTCAACAGCCTACGAAGGGTTGAAGTATGGCCCCCGGGATTGGCCAAGACTTAGCTACTGTTACAGGCGCATACACCTAAATTAGGCTTTCAATGTTGTCTACCTGTTAAGCTAGGTCGCAGTTGGTCCATGAGGACTCAAATTTAGAAGTACGGAGTCCTTCCAAGGCCATATTAATTCGCTTTAACTCTACTAACAAAAATAAGATAAACTCTCTTGTGGTTCTAATGGTCAGCTGGTTTGGAGGCCACCGATACCGTAGAGAGACAACCCCAAATAACCCGTGACATTACACTGATTCCCTCTCATCGTGGTTTTGTTTTCTGAGGTTTTAGTTACCTGAGGTCTAAAAATATTAAAGGGGGCCGTGGGAGGTGGCTCAAGTCTGCAATCCAGCACTTTGGGAGGCTGAGGCAGGCAGATTGCTTGAGGTCAGGAGTTTGAGACCAACCTGGCCAACATGGCGAAACCCTGTCTCTACAAAAAATACAAAAAATTAGCCGGGCATAGTGGTACTCACCTGTGATCCCAGCTACTCGGGAGGCTGAGGCACGAGAATTGCTTGAGCCTGGGAGGCAGAGATTGCAATGAGCTGAGATTGCTCCACTGGACTCCTGCCTGGGCAACAAAGCATGACTCAGTCTCAAAATACACATATATACATAAAAGAAATACTCACTCAAACTATGGGGGCACTTTAAAAAAAAAAATGAAAAATGAAAATGTTAAATGGGCTGGACGTGGTGGCTCATGCCTGTAATCCCAGCACTTTCGAAGGCTAAGGTGGGAGGATTGTTTGAGCCCAGGAGTTTTTTTGTTTGTTTTATTTTTTGAGATGGAATTTTGCTCTTGTTGCCCAGGCTGGAGTGCAATGGCGTGATCTCAGCTCACCGCAACCTCCACCTCCTGGGTTCAAGCAATTCTCCTGCCTCGGCCTCCTGAGTAGCTAGGATTACAGGCATGTACCACCACACCCAGCTAATTTTGTAGTTTTAGTAGAGACAGGGTTTCTCCATATTGGTCAGGCTGGTCTCAAACTCTCGACCTCAGGTGATCCGCCCACCTCGTCCTCCCAGAGTGCTGCAATTCTAGATGTGAGCTACTGCACCTGGCCAAGCCCAGGAGTTTGAGACCATCCTGGGCAACATGGAGAAATCCTATCTCTACAAAACACTCCATCTCCGCAAAAATTAAGCCAGGCACAGTGGCATACACCTGTGGTTGCAGCTACCCACGAGGCTGAGATGGGAGGATCACCTGAGCTGGGAGATTGAGGCTGCAGTGAGCCTTGATTGCCCCATAGCACTCCAGCCTGGGTGACAGAGTGAGACCTTGTCTCAAAAAAAAATAAATAAAAATAAAACTATTGGGAGCCGGGTGCGGTGGCTCAAGCCTGTAATCCCAGTACTTTGGGAGGCCGAGGCGGGTGGATCACGAGGTCAACAGATCAAGACCATCCTGGTCAACACGGTGAAACTCCGTCTCTACTAAAAATACAAAAAAAATTAGCTGGGCATGGTGACGTGTGCCTGTAATCCCGGCTACTCAGGATGCTGAGGCAGAAGAATTGCCTGAATCCAGGAGGTGGAGGTTGCATTAAGCCGAGATCATGCCATTGCACTCCAGCCTGGGTAACAAGAGCGAAACTCCGTCTCAGAAAAAATAAAAATAAATAAATAAATAAATAAAACTATTGGGTGGGGCAGTGGCTCACACCTGTAATCCCACCACTTTGGGGGGTCGAGGAGGGCAAATCACGAGGTCAGGAATTCGAGACCAGCCTGGCCAACATGATGAAACCCCATCTCTACTAAAAATACAAAAAATTAGCTTGACGTGGTGGCAGGCATCTGTAATCTCAGCTATTCAGGAAGCTGAGGCAGGAGAATCACTTGAACCCGGGAGGTGGAGGTTGCAAGGAGCCAGGATTGCACCATTGCACTCCAGCCTGGGCAACAAGAGTGAAACTCTGCCTCAAAAAAAAGAAAAGAAAAGAAAAACATATATATATATATATATGTGTGTGTGTGTGTGTGTGTGTGTGTGTGGTGTGTGTGTGTGTGTGTATATATATATATTTATTTATAAAATGGAAAATTCCAGAAATAAACAATTCAGAAGTTTTAAATTGTGTGTAGCTCTGAGTAACATGAAATCTTGGGCCATCCAGCTCCATCCCACTGAACAGATGAATCCTCCCTTCCTCCAGTGTATCCAGGCTGTACCTGCTCATTAGTCACGCAGTAGCCTTCTTGCTGATCAGATTGATGGTTGCTGTATCACAGTGCTTGTATTCAAGGAAGTCTTATTTTACTTAATATTGGCTCCAAAGCACAAGAGTAATGGTGCTGGCAATTCAGATATGCCAAAGAGCAGCCATAAAGTGTTTATTTTAAGTGTAAAGGTGAAAGTTCTCAGCTTAATAAGGAAAGAAAAAAGCTGCATGCTGAGGTTGCTAAGATCTACCATAAGAACAAATCTTCTAACTATGAAATTGTTAAGAAGGAAAAATAAATTCATGCTAGTTTTGCCGTCACACCTCAACCTGCAAAATTTATGGCCACTGTGCTTGATAATTGCTTAGTTAAGATGGAAAAGGCATTAAATTTGTGGGCAGAAAACATTAACAGAAATGTGTTTTGATTGCTAGCAATCAAATTCAGTACTATCCTTGGTTTCAGCATCCACTGGGGGTCTTGGAACACATCTCGGCAGATAAGGGGGAATTATTGTACAATACATTAGTGCAATGGGGGTGTTAGTGCCCTGGGGAGGAGGTTTTGTATAAGCTAAGGTGTTCACCCAATGGAGCAGCAGAAGGAAGGAGGCCAGATTTTGGCAACGTAGGTGCAAAGGGAAAGCTCACGTCCTCCTCAAGGAGGTAAGGGTGGCTTAGATTTGGCAGTGTACATGGGGTGAAAGGTGCTGGGACATGATACTGGGAAAGGGAACTGGGGAACAGACTGTAAAGGGCAATCCTTGAATATTGTACTAAGGGGTGTGGACTTGATGGTGGAAGTACTGGTGAAGCAATGAAGGTTTTAAAATTTATGATAGAGGGTTGGATGCAGTGGCTCACACCTGTAATCCCAGCACTTTGGGAGACCGAGGCAGGCAGATCAACTGAGGTCAGCCTGGCCAACGTGGCAAAACCCCGTCTCTACTAAAAACACAAAAATTAGCTGGGCATGGAGGTACGTGCCTGTAGTCACAGCTACTTGGGAGGCTGAGAGAGGAGAATAGCTTGAACCCAGGAAGGGAGGTTGCAGTTAGCCGAGATTGTACCACTGCACTCCAGCCTGGGTGACAGAACCAGACTCTGACCAAAAAAATTAGATAAATAGGCTGGGCACAGTGGCTCACGCCTATAATCCCAGCACTTTGGGAGGCCGAGGCGGGTGGATCACGAGGTCAAAAGATCGAGACCATCCTGGTCAACAAGGTGAAACCCCGTCTCTACTAAAAATACAAAAATTAGCTGGGCATGGTGGCACGCACCTGTGGTCCCAGCTACTCGGGAGGCTGAGGTAGAAGAATTGCCTGAACCCAGGAGGCAGAGGTTGTGGTGAGCCGAGATCATGCCATTGCACTCCAGCCTGGGTAACAAGAGCGAAACTCGGTCTCAAAAAAAAAAAAAAAATTAGATAAATAAAATAAAATAAAATTCATGATAGAATAGCAGATGAGGAAGACTTTCTCTCCAAAACAGCTTTGAGCTTGGGTCATTCATTTGATCAATACTTTTCTTTTTTTGTTTGTTTTTTAGATGGAATCTTGTTCTGTCACCCAGGCTGGAGTACACTGGTGCAATCTTGGCTCGCTGCAACTTCTGCCTTCTGGATTCAAGCAATTCTCCTGTTTCAGCCTCCCAAGTAGCTGGGATTACAGGTGTGCACCACCACGACTGGCTAATTTTTGTATTTTTAGTAGGAAGGGGGTTCGCCATGTTGACCAGTCTGTTCTCAAACTTCTGACCTGAGGTGATCCACCTGCCCTGGCCTCCGAAAGTGCTGGGATTATGGGCCTGAGCCAGCACGCCTGGCCTTATTTCATAAGTATCTTCTATCTGCCAGGTGTGCTTTTGAGGAGACAGCAGTAAATAAAACATACAGACACACCTCTTCTCAAAGAGCTTATATTTTAGTGGGAAACACAAATTATAAGTACAATATATTGTATGTCAGGTGTGTTATGGAGAGCAACAAAGTAGGAGAGAGTGAGTGATACAGAGTGCTTGGGAGTTGGGCAGAAATTACGATGTTAAATAGGATGGGAAGGGAAGACTGCACTGAGATCATATATTTGTTTGTTTGTTTGTTTGTTTTTTTAATAGAGATGAGGTCTCCTTTTGTTCCCAGGCTGGTCTCAAATTCCTGGGCTCGAGCAATCCTCCTACCTCTGCCTCCCAAAGTGGAAGGTGTATTTGAGCTGTTAAGCCAGTGAGGAAGGTTTGGGGTGAAGCCAAATGGCAAAGGTCCTGAGGCTGGTGTGTGCCTGGCATGTCCAGGGAATGATCAGTCTAGTGTGGCTGAGCAGCAGTGAGTTGGCAGAAGAGAGATAAAGGCCATAGCCAAGAAGCAAGGGTAGAGATAAGAGTCAGAAGGGATTTGATTTTTCCTTCCTGCCCTCTCTTAGATAAATTAATGAATAATACAAGTGAATCTGAGCTCATCAGCAAGTTTAGAGCAGGCTATGAAGATGCTTGTCTTAAAACTTTCTCTCACTTGGACTACTGAAAAGGCTTTTTAAAAACTAGACTCCTAGCCGCAGGGTGTGGTGGCTAGCCTGTAATCTCCATACTTTGGGGAGTAAGGTGAGAAGATCCCTTGAGCCCAGGAGTTTGAGGCTGCAGTGAGCGTGCTGATGGCACCACTTCACTTCCACCTGGACAATGGGAGAGACCTTTTGTCAAAAAACAAGAAAAAAGAAAAGAAAAAGCTTTCTTTTTTTGAGACAGAGCCTTGCTTTGTTGCCCAGGCAGGAGTGCAGTGGCACAATCTCGACTCACCACAACCTCTGCCTCCCCGGTTCAAGCAATTCTCCTGTCTCAGTGTCTTGAGTAGCTGGGACTACAGGTGCATGCCACCATGCCAGGCAAATTTTTGTATTTTTTGTAGAGAGGGGGTTTCACTATGTTGGTCAGACTGGTCTAGAACTCCTGACTCGTGATCAGCCCGCCAAGGCCTCCCAAAGTGCTGGGATTACAGACGTGAGTCACTGCACCCAGCCTAAGAAAAAGCTTTTTAAAACTAGACTCCTTGCCTCAATCTTGCCTTTTTCTCACTTGTCCTCCTTGCTGTTTCCATGAGGTGTTTTTAAAATGTTTGTCACGGACTTGCTTCAAATCCTTCAGCGGCTCCCTATGGTCTCCACACAGTGAGGTTTCATTTTAGCATGTTGTACACAGGTATTCGTGATCTGGTGTCTTCCTGGTTACACTGCATTAGTTAGGATTTTTGTTTCTTTGTTTACATAAGCTTACTGAAGCCAAAAAAATAAATAAATAAAGGAAATTTGTTATTAAGGGAAGAGTGTCTCAAGAACCCAGACACAGAATGAGGCTGTTATCTCCAGAAGGGATTGGCAACAGGGTGCACTGGAAGGTTGTGGAAGCTTTCTGCCCTTCCCCTCTGCCTCAGCATCTTCCTCTGTCTTGCCTTTTCTTTCTGCCTAGCAGCTTTGTTGACTCCTGTGCACATACCATTATGCAAGGAAAAGGAGGTGCAAGCCAGATACCCAAGAGAAGTGACCATCTCTGGACTGAGTTGGCTTAGAAAGTTGACTTAGAAAGTTCTACTCGGGCTGGGCGCGGTGGCTCACGCCTATAATCCCAGCACTTTGGGAGGCCGAGGTGGGTGGATCATGAGGTCAAGAGATTGAGACCATCCTGGTCAACGAGGTGAAACCCCATCTCTATTAAAAATACAAAATTAGCTGGGCATGGTGGTGCGTGCCTGTAGTCCCAGCTACTCGGGAGGCTGAGGCAGGAGAATTGCTTGAACCCAGGAGGCGGAGGTTGCAGTGAGCCAAGATTGTGCCATTGCACTCCAGTCTGGGTAACAACAGTGAAACTCCATCTCAAAAAAAAAAGAAAGTCCTACTCTGGGCCGGGTGTGGTGGCTCACACCTTTAACTCCAGCCCTTTGGGAGGCTGAGGCGGGTGGTTTACAAGGTCAGGAGATCGAGACTATCCTGGCTAACATGGTAAAACCCCATGTCTATTAAAAATACAAAAAATTAGGCTGGGCATGGTGGCTCACGCCTGTAATCTCAGCACTTTGGGAGGTTGAGGCAGGCAGATCACAAGGTCAAGAGCTCGAGATCATCCTAGCCAACATAGTGAAACCCTGTCTCTACTAAAATACAAAAATTAGCTGGGTGTGGTGGCGTATGCCTGTAGTCCCAGCTACTTGGAAGGCTGAGTCAGGAGAATTGCTTGAACCTGGGAGGAAGAGGTTGCAGTGAGCTGAGATTGTGCCACTGTACTCTAGCCTGGGCGACAGAGTGAGACTCGGTCTAAAGAAGAAAAAAAAAATTTTTTTTAAGTTATCTAGGAGTGGTGGCATTGCACCTGTAGTCCCAGCTACTTGGAAGGCTGAGTCAGGAGAATTGCTTGAACCTGGGAAGAAGAGGTTGCAGTGAGCTGAGATTGTGCCACTGTACTCTAGCCTGGGCGACAGAGTGAGACTCGGTCTAAAGAAGAAAAGAAAAATTTTTTTTAAGTTATCTAGGAGTGGTGGCATTGCACCTGTAGTTCCAGCTACTAGGGAGGCTGAGGTGAGAGGATCACTTGAGCCAGGAGGTCAAGGTTAAACTATGATTGAGCCACTACACTCCAACCTGGGCAACAGAGTAAAACCCTGTCTCAAAAAATAAAAAAAGTTCTCATCTGAGTCACGGCACCAAATAAATAAAATAAAAATTAAAAAAGAAAAAAGAATAATAAAAAAAAGAATAAAAATAAAAGTTCTGGGCCAGGGGCGGTGGCTCACACCTATAATTCCAACACCTTGGGAGGCCAAGACGGGCGAATCACCTGCGGTCAGGAGTTCAAGACCAGCCTAGTTAACATGGTGAGACTCTGTCTCTACTAAAAATACAAAAATTAGCCAAGTGTGGTGGCAGGTGCCTGTGTCCCAGCTACTTGGGAGCCTGAGGCAGGAGAACTGCTTGAACCCGGGAGGCGGATCTTGTAAGATCACACTATTACATTCCAGCTTGTGCAACAAGAGTGAAACTTCTTCTCAAAAAAAAAGTTCTATCTATAATTTTGTGTCTATGCCTATGATTTTAATTAAATGTAATACATTTTTATTACTAACAGCTTCAAACAATATGGAAGCACACAGAAAAAAACTGAGTTAATTTTCACAGACCTCTCCTTCCTCCCCCGAGAGGTAACCAATCTCCCAGGCATTTATTTATACATCTGTATGCTTACACACCAAATATCTATGTTTGGTTTTTCCTAAATGCAATTGTGTCATATGTATTTTAAACCAGCTTGCTTTTTTTTTTGAGATGGAGTTTCACTCTGTTCCTTCGGCTGGAGTGCAGTGGCACGATCTTAGCTCACTGCAACCTCTGTCTCCTGGGTTCTAGCCATTCATTCTTCTGCCTCAGCCTCCAGAGTAGCTGGGATTACAGGTGCCTGCCACCACTCCTGGCTAATTTTTGTATTTTTAATGGAGGCAGAGTTTTACCATGTTGGCCAGGCTGGTCTCAAACTCTTGGCCTCAAGTGATCCACCTGCCTTGGCCTCCTAAAGCACTGGGATTACAGGCATGAACCACTGCGCCTGGCCAGCCAACTTGCTTTTTTTTTGATTATATAATAATATACATTGCAGCTATTCGTTTAGTTAGTATTTTTCTAAATTTTTTAGAAATTTAGCTTCTGGTCGGGTGCAGTGGCTCATGCTTGTAATCCCAGCACTTTGGGAGGCTGAGTCGGGTAGATCACAATGTCAGGAGTTCGAGACCTGATCAACGTGGTGAAACCTCGTCACTACTAAAAATACAAAAAGTAGCTGGGCCTGGTGGCACACGCCTGTAATCCCAGCTACTCAGGAGGCTGAGGCAGGAGAATTGCCTAAACCTGGGAGGCGTAGGTTGCAGTGAGCCAAGATTGTGGCACTGTACTCCAGCCTGGGCGACAGAGTGAGACTTTGTCTCAAAAAAAAAAAAAAAAAAAAAAATTTAGCTTCTTTTGGGAGTTTCTGAGTAGCTGAACATGTGGAGGTTCTTGGAGGGTGGTGCACCCAGAAAAGGCATGGATGCAAGCTCTGTACACCTTCTCCCATATCTTGCCCTAAGCATCTCTTCATCTGTATCCTTTGTTTTATATATATATATATATTTTATATATATATATATAATATATATATATATATGTTTTTTCCCCCTAAGAGACAAGGTCTCACTATGTTGCCCAGGCTGGTCTCTTGCCCAGGCTGGTCTTGAATCCCTGAATTCAGGGAATCCTCCCTCCTTGGCCTCCCAAAGTGCTAGGATTTCAAAGTGCCACCATGCCTGGCCCTTTGTAATCATTTTTAAAATAAACTGGCAAATGTTAAAAAAAGAGTGAGAGAAATTTAAATTTTATTGTATTAGTGCAATTTTTTATTTTTATTTTTTGGAGACAGAGTCCTGTTCTGTTGCCTAGGCTGGAGTGCAGTGGCACCATCTCAGCTCACTGCAACTTCTGCCTTCCAAATTCAAGTGTTTTCCTGCCTCAGCCTCCTGAGTAGCTCAGACTACAGGCACCCACCGCCACGCCTGAATAACTTTGTGTGTGTGTGCGTGTGTGCGTGTGTGTGTTTTAGTAGAGACGGGGTTTCACTGTGTTGCCCAGGCAGTCTAGAACTCCTGAGCTCAAGCAATCGGCTCATCTTGGCTTCCCAAAGTGCTAAGATTACAGGCGTGAGCCAACATACCTGGCATATAAATACAATTCTATTGAATCATATTTATTCATTTATTTGTAGAAACAGAATCTGGCTCTGTTGCCCAGGCTGGAGTGTAGTAGTGTGATCAAGGCTCATGGGAGCCTCGAACTCCTTGGCTCAAGTGATCCTCCTGCCTCAGCCTGTGAAAAGCTAGAAACACAGGCATGTGCCACCACAGCCAGCCAATTTTTAAATTTTTTGTAGAGATGGG